ATACTTTTGAGTACCTTTTTTTCAATATAAAATGACCAGCTATCAGCAGTAGATAAATTAGTTACGCCTTATACGAGCTCGATTAGTATATGCCAATAATCTCATTAGTACCAACTCCCTCGTGTTACAAATTATTCAATACGTCGTCGGTCTTCATGTTATATTTACATAATTATAAACATTATTTGAACCTTATCGTAACCGTTGATATTTGTATTTTGATCTTGATACAGCGTAAACGTTCGTCTGCGTTATTACTCTAACTGCACGAGTGAACAAGATATGGTATTCACACTGGCCATGACTTGAAGGTGGACGCAGACAAATGCAGATTTATTTTGCTCAGTGAGTTCAGGTGTACAGTATAGTTACATTGAAGACAATGTAATTATGGCCAAATGCGCACTGTATATCGCGGAACAAGTTTTTCTAAGTAGCATAATATAAAGTTACGAAAGTCATTTTTATCTTTTTTATAACACCAAAGTTTACTAATTAGCAAGTTGTAGATTTGTATTGATTCGATAACTCGATCTGTTTTCAGTCTTAAAATGGACATCAAAAAGCAAGCACCGATCAACGGCGATGAAGAGTACAGACTGTACAGGATGAGGTGGGTGATTTTGCTCATGTATGTTGTCAGTTGTGCATGCGGAAATATGCAGTGGATGCAGTATGGAATTATTGGCGACGTCCTTATTCTATACTATGGAATATCGTTCGAAGCGGTAAATTGGTCTTCTCTGGTGTTCTTACTTTGCTACGTCATCTGCTTGTTTCCAGTCAGTTATATTTTGGACAAATATGTAAGTATTCTCATTAACTCTTCCACTAACCTAATTACTTTGTAAATATATGTGATTATGGAATAGTTTACAAGGGTAAGATTGAAAGCCGTAATCGTTTTTAGATAAAGGTATCGTCACTGTGTTTGTCATAACATAAACACGGCTATTAACGGTACAGTTGTGTTTTGGGAAAGTTACTAAAGATCATTTTCCTTGATCTCCAGTAATGGGGTTGTTTCTTCTATCAGTGTAAGAGTCTAGTTCCATATAAGTACCACAACCTGTAAAAATGACCTATTTCACACATCTTTAATATGGAAACAAGAATACCTACCTATAACCAAAGAGTTGCTATAACTCTAAGGGTTGAGCTATTGATGAAGATTTCACAAAGATGATACCAATACTAAGTTACAGAAATAATAGCAAAGTCACAGTTTGGAATTTCAAGCAGACTGCATACACTTTCTTACCCTTTCTGAGTGATTAAACTAACACAGAAACGTTAAGCATGAATTTTAATACAATTTGAAGTGACAAAGCCCTTTTTAGCGTCCACAAACTATTCACAAGCACTCGTGCAGCGAGAAGGTCAAGGGGCTTGCTGATATGTGAGAGTAGAAGCAGGTTAAAAACGGCTGTTTGTGCGATGAAATGAATCAACGAATTGGTTCAATGAATTTGTAACCACTGAAACGAAATTTACACAATTTTCATTTGTAACCTATTTCTCTACTTTAATCGACCTCTATTTAGTGAGAACTTTACCCACATTTGCGATTCGTGCTTTAAAGTACAGTATGGAAAGCATAGGACAATGTTGAAGTTGAAGTACCTAACTTACAGAGCTTCTCAAACATTAATTTTTTTCGGTCACGCTAGCCACGAATTTTTTAAATTAGTATTTTTACTCTGTCCAAAGGATTTGTTTCGTTTCAACAAATTGTATACGTACTCTGTACAAAACAAGTACTCTTACAGTAGAATTAAAACCAAATAACCAGCAAAGGTGATATTTTCTTTGAAGAAAATGTAGTTGCTGCAAAAATTGTACAAACATTTGGCGTTATTAAAATATGATTGTTTGAGTACCAATGGTAAATTGCTTCTTTCTTTGAAATAGCTGTATAGTATTAATTTCTGTGAGTACTAAGGGACATATGCCATTGTTACGCTAATAGGATTACAGAGGTGTCTCCAACCCCAACTTTTATGAAACATTGTCTCAAAGACCAATACTGAACTCTTGAGTGTGAATCGTACTCCTCGATTCAGAAACCCCTCGACCATTTACTCTAACTCATGATGATCACCACCTTGTGGATTGAGTTGTTACTTAATAAAGGTCGATTAAAGTAGAAAATAACATCTTACCACTAGAGAGAGAAATGAAAGTTGCGTAAATTTTGTTTCACTGGTTAGAAATTCATTGAAAAGTATTCATACCCAACCTGAGCTGTAGAGACGTTGGGGAAACTTTAAGGGTTGAGTTTTCTTCATCAGAAACAAAAATACATTACAGAAATAATAATCACAGCAAGGTTGCCGTTTGGAACTTAAACTACATACACTTTCTTCTGAATGATGAATTTAAATACCTACAGTTTGGAATTACCAAAGCCCTTTTTAGCGAGAAATTATGCACAAGCACTCGTGCAGCGAGAAGGTTAAAGAGCTTGCTGATATGTGAGAGTAGAAGAGGGCCAAAAACGGCTGTTTGTGCGATGAGATGTATCAACGGAATGGTTCAATACATTTGTAACCACTGAAACGAAACTTACGCAATTTTGTAACCTATTTCTCAAGTGGTAAGATGTTATTTTTTACTTTAATCGACCTCTTTTGTAGGTCGTGATCGTTACTAAATAGTCGACGTGTTTCTGAATCGAGAATACTTGCTTTAGAGATGAGTATGTTCAAATTTAATTCATTACTTCTTTTTCTAAATAAAATTGTAATACCACGATGCTTATCATGGTGTATCTGTTGAAATGAGATACATTTGCGGTCTGTTTTGGTGTGTTTATCTTAATCGCAGTTGTATCTTCCAGCGTCAATGACCTACGATTTTATATGTTATGATCAAACGCTACTTTTAGACAGTAGGCATACTAGAAGAAGTCCATTAGAAATCGCAGAATAAAAATCAAATCGTACTAGTTTCGGACAAATTAGCTCCTTCAACTTTATCCAGAACTGTAACTTTAATCTAAACTAAAACTCACTATGCACCTGAGATTAAACAAAATAATTTCAGGGCCTGAGGGTGTCAATGATTCTCAGCGTTGTTGGGATAGCTATCGGGGCGTGGTTGAAGGTGGCATCAATAGCACCCGAACGATACTGGGTGTTACTACTAGGCCAGATCGTAGTGTCAGTATCTGTTGTGGCTTTAATGGGCATACCCCCAAAGCTTGCGGCTGTATGGTTTGGATCCCACGAGGTGTCTTCAGCTTGTGGAATTGGTCTAGCAGGAATACAGGTAATTATCCACTTCACCACACCAACACAATTAAAGAAGATCCTTTTTCAGCTAGGTTTCGCAATTGGATTTGTCGTACCACCTTTGGTAATCAGAAGTCAGTATGATGTCTCCGTTATTGAAAGTGACCTGTTTACTATAGCTTTAGGGGTTGCTATTACTTGCACAGTTTTGGTTATAATAATTATACTGGGTAAGTATAAATATGTAAACAATTATGCACAGAACCCTAAATTGCGTTTAGATCTTTATTTAGACGAAATTTTGTATGTTCAGGTTTTTCCGATAAACCACCAACGCCACCAACGTACGCCGCCTCGTGTACCAAACACCACGACATTACATTCGTGCGGCCTTTTAAGAAACTGATGACCAACAAGCCCTTTGTCCTCCTAATGTCGGGATTTGGGATTGATCTTGGGATATTTTGCGCACTGTCTGCTCTTCTAAATCAAATTATTTTAAGAAATTATCCGGTGAGTATTTCTAGTTTAGGGCTAACCGAGAAAGTCAAAACGCTTATGCCCTCGAGTTTCTATCGGTCTGCCTGTCTGTCTATCCGTGTATAAACCTGGCCTGTGCGTGGGTTGTAATATCTAAATTGTTATTTGTTGTTACTTGTTATCTAATAATTATGTATTTTTGTATTTCTTTGATAACTGAAACGCAGTTTTAATAATTTGGTATACACTGCAATTCAACCATCATTATTCAAGGGATTACAACAGTTGTGGAAGATGTTAAACCAGCGGATTTGTTGCATAATCCGATTTTTTTGTTTACAACTGTCGAAATAATTGCGAAGTAGGGGTGGGGAGAGCATAAGGGAACCGATATTCGCGAAGGCATTTGCGAATCTATAGTGGCCCAATTATCAACGTTGATTGTATTTGAATCTACGAAGGCATAAAAGGTCCACAAGTAGATATTTTTTTCAACTCCAACTTTAATACTCAGAAATTTCGCATTTTTATACATCTTATATACAGCGCCTCGTGCCATTGACGTCTAAATTTTCATGTTAGGGTACCTAACATTTGATAAATACTTACAATGTAGCGAAACGGAAATCGACTCTGTAACGGTAGCTCTAAAATTGGTTTTATTTTCTGCGAATGTTATAAAGATAGCCAAAGTTTGAGATTTTAAAGATTTAAGGGTTAGATCAGTTTAGGCACTGCATATAGAAAGTCTACAGGGTGAAAAAGTTGGAGAGTTAAGGCGGCTAGGGACAGGCCATTCAAAATTTAAGCTGCGCCTATGCAAATAATTATATAGGCAACCAATCGTGCAATTCGACAAGTTTCACCAGGCATAAGCTACCTGCAAATGACCTCATCTTCCTACAATAAAACCAGATTCCAGACCCTCATTAGCGGCTATTCAACAAAAGTAACTGATTTATGGAATTTCAACTTTCTGCTGATGTTTTACAGTTTTACTAATACTGGAAACATTTGAATATAGAATAGGAAATCAAAGCTGAAAGCTCTACATACCTATATAAAAATATTACTAATGTATTACTTTCTAAGATTTCCTACTTACTTCCTATATAGGGATTTACAATAATGACTTTTTGAGATTTTGACTTGAGCAATGAAGGGAACAATTTCCGAAACAAGAACAACTGGTCTTCAATTTTTGTGGTTCATAGCACAAATTTATTTAAACAATTATCACATCCGATCAAACTACAGCCCTATAGATTTCTAAATTTATATGATAACGATTTTCACAGGTGCGCGGATGTAAGAATAGTACTTTTCTTCAATTAGATGAACAGTTTTCGATATTTCGCATGGCTTCCGCAATGTAGCCCGATATTTGCTGCGTTTTCAACCTTCCCCCATTTATCAAATTATATATCTGAATTCTGATCTAATTTACAACAAAATAAATGACTCATTTTTCATTACAAAAAATGTTTTAATAGATTTTCGGAAATTTTCCAATTCCAACACGACATTCGCCTGATGCTTTACGAAAATAGTTTATTTGGCTAGCCGTCAAACCTACAGTGGAATTATCAAAAGCATAGGTAGATTAAAAAATTATCAAAGTCCTCGTGTGGGATCGAAGAGAGATCAGCGCATTTTTGTGTGGCAGATCAGTATTGTATTAGCCACCATCAAAAAGATCTTATCGCAAGCTAACACAATCCCTTTGCCGGTACCCCCTTCCGACGTCCCGTTCACCCACAATTCGCATTTAGATGAATTTGGCTAAAAACTCTCCACAAAATAGTTCTCAATTTTTGGGGCACTTCTCATAGGTCTATTAGCCACACGAGAAAGAGAGATCGCGATTCGAGCTTTCAGAAACAAAATTCGCAGAGGAAGATACCTTTTGGGCGCCCTAAGTCAACTACCCCGCGCAGACGTGCGCCTTGTAAAATGAGGTTAATTTTGTACCCAGGAAAAAAACAAATTTTCGCCACGCAGTTGTTGTGTCCGTTTACAAGATCTTTCCAACGGCACCATTTTGAAAACAATCTGAAATGTGGTGGCCCCCGCCAAGATCTTACTGATGGTGGAGTAAAACTTCAAACGCAAATTAGGGATGCACGGGACGTCGGACGCGAGTACCGACGAAGGGAATGTGGTAGCTTCGACAAGATCTCACACGAGGACTTTGACAATTTTTTACAAACGACATGCTGAAATAAAAAATTATCACTTGTAATACTACTAGTGCTTGCTATTTCCGGCAACTTTTCGAGCTCACACATATTTGAACTTTCGCAAAATATTCGTGAGCAAGAAAAAAATTCTATTCAAGCACTGTGGTATTCGGTAAGAAAATTTCACAGCATAGTGACCCTCAACGAAAAAGTGACGTTTTATGTCAAAACATTATTACCTTTTTACGTCAAAAAATTGACGATAAATTCCTTGGTTGCCATGGAAATGTGACACGAAATCCGCATTTCATTGGTCGACAAAATTGCTGGTTTAAATTTTCGTTGAGATTTGTCACCTAAAGTATGTAAGACACAACATTATTCATTTTTGTATGAACAGTTTTTTAACAGAGCTGCTAGATTCAAGAAGGTGCCGACAACAAACAATTCTTTATGTTTATCTATTATAGGTACATCGTCCAAATTGTACATAATTTTTATGTAATCGATATTATTAAATTGCTTTTTGATAAGTAGGTAACAATACACGTACATCAAATGTATGAAAAAAATGTATGAAACGGGTCTAAAAAATTAAAACGTTGTTACTCCTCAATATTACATTTATTGATGTACAATATTTTTTTAATTATCGGTCAATTATCGTTGGTACTAATAGACGAATAAATGGACGGCATTGAGATTCTTTTGTTACTGGTCTAATAGGGTCATAAACCATTGTATATAAGTATAATGGTCATTAGGTGTTAATATTTTCCAGGTAAAAGTGCTACCTGAGTTGCCTATCGTCATTGTATGGAAGGTATTGCATTTCTTCCGTCGCTATATTTTATATAAACTTTTGAGTAAAAATTACGGGTTATTTCATAATTTGAAGCAGTTCGTAATATATTTTTTTAATCCACTTAGTTACTAAATAAATTGTGCGGATTTACTTTTTAAATATTTTTTTACTAAGGCCAGTATTCGCGTTCTTAGTAAATTCAAGATTATGATTTATACACGACTTAAATAATTTTATCAAAAAAATAAATCGCTACATTTAATGACTTTCTATATCTCTATCAATTTCCGATAAAACCTCTAGTTAGAATTAATATTTGGGCTTCAAAAATTACTCAAAAGTTTCGACTTTTATTGCAAATTTCAGTGACCATTGTGTGTTGCCTATCCTCTATCCCTAGCCCCCTTAACTGTATGTCTAGTGGAATTGTAAAGAAAGATTCGTTAGTGAGTAGGGGAATTCACAACCGTGCTTTCTAAATATTTTAATTTACATGGCGCATTGTTCTCTTAATGGGTTCAGAAAGTCTAGGCTGCGGCGAGTGGTAGATAAAAGGAGTCATTTTCTCTCAGTAAGGTTCTAGACGCAAAAATATCTGAACGAAAAATTACCCAGCGATAAGTTTAAAGTCCACATCGTAACATTACAAATTAAGCACAATTCCCGTCTGGAGGGTTTTTAAGGCCTTTGGTTTGAAGTCGCATATTTATCACAGACTAGGTACACAATTATCCTTTGCCTTAGGTTCTTATTGAAATACGTTTTCGGAACCATTAAGCACTCCAAACGGAATGACACTGTAAATAACATTCCACGCATGTTACCGCTCTGGGGAACACCAGAAGTCACAACATTAAATATCGCTTATCACGCGCAGCACATTTTCAACGCGAATTGTTTTACTCTACGTCTAAACAATCACAACTATTACAACATTTAGATACCGCAGGAGTCCTTGTAGATAAAATTTGTAAAAGATACATTACGAGCTATCATTTCATAAACGATGTTTGTGATTACATCGGAAGGTTATGTCACAAGTTTATTAAGCCCTTTGCTCATACTGCTTACGAAAAAAATTAGTATGACGTCCCAATGAACATACTAATAGGCTTGCGGTTTTCTCAAAAAAGCACTTCAATGCTTACAATACACAAGCATCTACTAACTGTTACCTATGTTTTTCGTTTCAGAATGGATTTGTGGACGCCGGGCGCATTGGGCTATTAATGGTGATCGCTGGTATTTTCGGTTCGCTGATAAGTGGAACAATTTTGGATAAATTCAAATGCTACAGGTAAGTTCCGCTGTAAAGCAAGTTTGAATCTAAACGGTAGTTTTTCAGAGGAGCACTACTGTCGTTGCAAACTGTGACCTTTCTTACTCTAATCGTCTTTACCGTCATCCTCAGCATGGACATTATGCTAGTTTACGCCACCGTCGGTCTCCTGGGGTAAGTAACCGAGAATAGTGATAAAAGTCGTTAACAGGGCAGTTTTTTTGCAGATTCTACGTCGGAGCGCTGTGGTCCGTGTGTTTTGAAGTTGCGGTCGAAATAACATACCCAGAACCGGAAGGTATGGCCGTTGGTTTGCTGAACGGTTGCGGACAAGGGTTGGGAATTATATTTACGTACATATATTCGACGCTGTTTTATAATTTTAACGATATTTGGGCTAACTCCGCCATGTCCGCGTTAATTTTGGTGGCCCTCGTAGCAATGGGTCTTATTCGAATGGAGCTAAGGAGGGAAGCGGCAAACTTTAAAAAGGACACCGATAATTTAGGATTCAATGATGTCTTTTGTAGTAAGCTGTAATTACCCTCTAGCGTGTTGTGATGTGTATCTGCATAGCTTTTTCTATAATTAGTCTTATGGTGCACTTCGACAACAATTGCACTGTGCAATTTAATTACATTAATTAACTTTCTTAGAACAATGTAATATGTAGGTATTATTAGTTCCTCACTATTATTTCTATGAAATAACAATTCAGTATTATGTAAGTTATTGTAACAATAACTAAGAATAAAGTGCCTAAGTAAAATGAGCACTCAAAATGAGCTCATGACAACTTATTGAAACTGGTTAAGATAATTTTTTTACAAGTTAAATAACCTTCACTTCCGGAACATCATCGTGTTAGAAAACAGATTTCAAAATGCGGTTTTCACCGATATTTTCACTTTTTCACCTCATTTGAAAAATATATATCATATAATAATTATATCGTTCCAATTTCAAAAAAACCTGTAAAACTTATGTTAATGTCTCATCGCGCCCTCTACCACTCATCACATTTACTAAAAAAACTCTATCCATGTAAAACCTCATTCCGCCAAGAGAGCTCTTTCCAACAAGACCTATTATGTGAAAATCTGTTACCCTAAGCCGAAGTTACATTCAATATCAATTCCTTAAAGAGATGTTCCCCTTCCCATACTCCTCATATTTTATGAGCTAGAGCAATATATGCTGCATCGAAATGATGCAAAATTGATACAAGATTGCTATGCATGTTTGTTGGGTATATTTTAGAAAAAAAAGTCATTTTTCTACTTAACCATGAATCGTGCGCCCTCTAGTGGCGAAGCTAGAAAATTTCTAGCGATTTCTCTTGGCCCCTTTTGTTAACAGAATTTTTTTCCCGAAGCTGTGCAATTAACGGTACCATATACCATTATTAGTGGCACCCTGTACACAAAATGAAAACCTTGATATCGCCCACTTTGATTGATGATTCCATTTGGGTTTAATCTAAAGCCTTTATACATGGAACAGATAATATAATAAAAATTATGATACAAACAAATTACTAAAAGAATACATATGCACAGAGCAATCTTGTGGAGAGGAAAATTCTATATGTAATATTGTTATTCCACACCTACGAATTATCATTTACGTTTAGAACAATAATTTATTTAAATTACCCATACGGCCCATTAAATAAACCGAACTTACCTTTATTTTTTAATGTATTGTTATTGATATTCTTGATGAACAATTATACAGCTGCCTAGCTGGCACTAGCCGTATCTCATACATTTCAATATAAATTTAAACTTACGCGATATCACCATTCGCAGAAAACGATGGATTTATACAAATAAGCGTCCATAATTCAACTTTAAATATAAAGAAATTCAAATAAAAAATATTCGCTAACGGAATCCCGTTACAACATCCAGCTATTGATTTTAGTACCTCCATTATCTGCACTGAACTTAATTCAAAATTTTTATCTAAGTATACTGTCTAGTGGTATTCTTAACATCCGGCTCAACCCAAAATGTGCTCACTTCAATTTTTGGTAAACAAAAAGAAAAAACAATCATCAGTGCGATTAAATATTATCCGATATGTCAATCTGACGAACTTTAACATACAATACAATAATAGTATTATCATTGTATTTTTCCTTTATAAATACAATGGTATTAAGAAACCCGCCGCGTGCCTCTAGGTTTTTCGTGATTAACGAAGACATGAATAGCGGGTTTGAGGTTATACAAAAGCGCCTATTCCAAACGCCATTCTGTTGAATGTCTCTATAATCCAATCGCTTTCCTTCTTGTGGCGAAAGTATATCTCGAGTATCTCAAGATTATACAGTGTTATCTTTAAAGTGATCTTACAACCTGCTCCTCATCCTATGTAAAATTTACTTGTACGCTAATGTCAACAACGTTTACATTTTGATAATAGGTACACATTAAAAATATTTAAATATTTACGCAATTCAAGATAATATTCTATATAAAATATCCTTAAAAATAAATGTTTAATGAAGTCAGATACAAATACAAAGTATAACTTGGTTGTGCGAGTGAAATGCTATTGTATTAGAGATCGTTATCTCTAAACCACGGTGAATAATATTCACTATAACTATAGGTATAATACGAAAAAATTACGGCACAGAAAAACTGCTCCCGTTATCGAGCTCCTTATTGTAACATATTTTCTCGTATGTATTTGAAAACACATGCTGTGACAGTAGGTACAGAAAATAATAATGGACGATCACGTTGAAGTGTATAAACTGTATAAGATCCGATGGTTGATGTTATTTTTGTTTGTAGTTAATGCCATTGGAAGTTTGATGCAATGGATTGAGTATTCTATAATAGCAGACGTACTGGTTAAGTACTATGGTGTTAGTGTTATGATGCTGCGAATTGGACGTCCATGATTTATTTATTAATATACATACCCGTCGTTTTTTTAGCAAATTACGTGCTGTCAGTGTATGTAAGTATACCATTTGCATTCTTTTTCAAAACGTTAAGGAATCTGCAAAAAAATTGTTTCATTCTTTCGATACTAAGAGTAATATCTCTTATTGATGATCCATCTTTAAGTATTGATTTCTTGGAACACGTTAATTAAGGGCTCTCTTTCTGTAGTATTAACTGAAAAAAGATGAAAAAACAAGGACATGGCATTTACTGAATTTGAGTTGATCTTGGCGTGTAAACGGCTTGCGTAATTAAAAAAAGTAAAAATTCATTTACTAAGGATCGTTACAGTTTTGTATGGCTGTCCGTCCTTTTGTCCGCCCGTTTGTCTGGGTTCGCTATAACTCTTAGTTAAGGTCTTCAGATACTTTTTATAGGTTTTAATTTTTTTTCCGTCCATCCGTCCGTCCGTATGCGCTATAACTTGCACTTTGCATGCGCAAAACCGAATTTTGAAACTGGCGTTAAATTTGCTTTTATTCCAAGTGGCTATGTATCAAATTTCATTTAAATCCCTCCATAAATACGAAAGTTGGCACTGCCATGGGCAAAACCAAATTTTATAAATGGTCGAGATGCCAAAAGGCACTGTGAATGCTGATCGATTAGGCTCAACTTTTGGAATTGCGTTTGATATGGCTAAAACTATGCGCATATTGAATTTTATGCAATTCGGTTCATAACTAACGGGGATGTCAAAAGGGCGTTCTTTATTTTTTGGCGTACATTGCCAATTCACGAACTCCGATCTACAAATTTGATAAAGAACTCGAATATAATCGTTTCTGTTAATATATGTTGGTATCCTACAAGATGTAGAGTTACCCTGGTTGTTACTGTAGGGTAAATAAGCTATTATTATATACGTCTGTGTTTTTGAAAGCACACGCTGTGACAGTTCAGAAACCGATTATGGGCGAGCACGTTGAAGAGTAAAAACTATATAAGACCCGATGGTTGATGTTATTTTTGTTTGTACTTAATGCCGTTGGAAGTTTAATGCAGTGGATTGAGTAGGTATTCTATAATAGCAGATGTACTGGTTAAGTACTATGGTGTTAGTTATGAAGCTGCAAAATGGACGTCCATGATTTATTTATTAATGTACATACCCGTTGTGTTTTTAGTAAATTATGTGCTGTCAGTCTATGTAAGTATACCATCTTCCATTCTTTTTTTTTAAATATTAAGGAGTCAGCAAAGAAAATGTTAATTCCCTCAATGTTAAGAGTACACGAGCAATATTTCTTATTGATGATGCATATTTAAGTGTTGATTTCTTGGAACACGTTAATTCTGCAGGTTACTCTTTCTGGATGATTAACTTGACAAACATAAAGAAACAAGGACATGAAACTTATATCATGTTACATAAAAAAATAAGTACTTTTCAAATCAGTAGTAAAATAATATGGGGTTCCATTTAAATAAATGCAAGTTTGATACGCCAGTGGAATACAGCACGCCCCTTGTGATCAAAAATATTGTAGAAACATACCGGCGGTAATTGTGTACAATTTTGCTCTAAGACTTTTTTCGGTACCTTTTATGGTCAAGGATTTATGAATTTATGATCCGAGGGATCTGATAGGTGCTACACCCTGTATAGGTACGTAATCTGCGTATTGAACTGCAATTAGGATGTATTAAATAATAAGATCAAATAGACCAAAGTTGTATAGGTAAGGTAATTGTGAATTGAAGGAATGTAACTTCTAGATGCCGTCGCTTCCGCAAATACCAGAAGTTGGCGCCATCTTGGTTTTAACATTCTGTATGTCTATATACGGTAGTTTTTGAATTACTCACTTATCTTGAATGATTATCTCCAAATTTTTAGAGAAAAATTGACATACGTAATGTCAAAAACTACGACAGGTAGGTAGGTACTCTTAAATACGTTGAATTGAGAATGAAATAGCACAGTTAGAAAGTTCATTGAAAATTGTATGTTTCTCTTTAAAAAAACAAGATGGCGCAAATTTCAATAGTAGGTTGACTTTTGAACTATTATAAAATTAGAAAAAAATGTATCCCTATGGCCGTTTGCACCGTTTCTGCAATAAACGTTGTTTAACTAATCACTGTTTTAATTTTAATCAATGTTTAATTTGTAACCACTTGCACCGACAAAAACATAACGCTGTTTAGGTAATCGGAGAATCTGCTAGGCAACACTGTAAAATATCTACTGTCACATGTGTTTACTGACTGTTTGTTAATCTTAAAGTGTATATTTGAGCTTAAAATCATCAACTTTGTTAAATTTAGTAAATTTGGTTAATAATGGAAGCTCCGACCAAAAAAAGAAATCGATGCCCAACGTTTAGTGCGGATGAAAAGTTAATGATTGCCAATATTTGTGATTTTTCAGATTTGCATCACAAGTACCCTGAACATTTATAGAGAAATATCCCTTTCGGTTTCTAAAAACCTCCGGATCTTCTCCACCTGGAAAATGTATATTGACCTCATCAGGTATTATGCGAAACTACTTAAGTACCTGGTGATTGTATTTTGACATGCGTACCATCAACACAACCAATAACTATCTGCGCTAGAATTAATTTTTGGACCTGGCATTTTAACAAACTGTGGATACAGTCTACCAATAGCATGTGTAACCTTTGCAACTAACCGTGATGCTGTGGAGATATCCATGCCGATAAAATCAGCCACTGTACTTAAATGTCCAGCACTTGCATAAAACCTAAGCGCTGCTAACAACTGATCAATAGGTGCTACATTATTGTTTCTAAAAGTATAGTTTAGGATAACAAATGGGTAATTAGGTACTTAGTAGCTTCATACAAATTGTTATTATATTCGAGATCCATTTCGATTAATTCTA